TTCGTGTCCAGCAAAACAGCAGTAACACAAAAGCTATCGGTATATACAAAGAGAAGTTCCCAGCGAGAGCTGGAAGTAAACAGGCATGTGACACACAATAGTCATGCCTGTAGCCTTTTAAGGTGGAAAGGAACTATATCCTAACACAATATCCAAAAGGACCACCTCTCTCCATATGAACCTGCCTGGACCATCATCTGAGGCCTTTCTTCATGTGCCTCCTCCACGCGGGGTCCAGAGGGAGCAACACAAGAATGGGCCTTTTCTGCAGTGGCTCCCCATTTGTGTGATGCGCCTCCCAGGGAGGATCACCTGTCACCTTCATTATACACTTTTGGGCACCAGGGGAAAATGTTCCTCTTCTGCCAGGCCTTTGGCTGATAAACACCCAATACACTTTAAAATGTAGCGTGGGTGGGGGGTTATTAGTTTGTTTTTTCTTCCTGTTTTCATTAAGTGTTTTGTGTTCTTACCTGTGCATCTCTTCCTTGCTGCCAGACCACCACCCCTTTTGGTAGCCCCAGAAAGACCTGACCCGGCCCAGAGTGACCAGGGGCTGCCTCAGCTTGACCCAGCTACATCCCAGGCTGACCCGAATTCATCCAGATGGATTCTGGTACACACACAACACTACTGCAAACCTTGAGGTTTCCCTCTCACTTTATGCTCTGGGGTGCCGATTTGGCTTCACAAACTTCAGCACTCACAGCCTGAACATCGGTTATAGAGTGGATGCTGCAAGCTAGCAGGTTGAGCAGCTGGGGCAAGCTAGTCAGATGGGCAGGGTAAAGGTAAAGGACCCCTGACAGTTAAGTCCAGTCGCAGACGACTCTAGGGTTACAGCGCTCATCTCACTTTACTGGCCGAGGGAGCCGACTTTTGTCTGCAGACAGTTTTTCTGGGTCATGTGGCCAGCATGACTAAGCTGCTTCTGGTAAAACCAGAGGAGCACACGGTAACGCTGTTTACCTTCCCACTGGAGCGGTACCTATTTATCTACTTGCACTTTGATGTGCTTTCGAACTGCTAGAAGAAGAAGAAGAAGAGTTTGGATTTGATATCCCGCTTTATCACGACCCGAAGGAGTCTCAAAGCGGCTAACATTCTCCTTTCCCTTCCTCCCCCACAACAAACACTCTGTGAGGTGAGTGAGGCTGAGAGACTTCAGAGAAGTGTGACTAGCCCAAGGTCACCCAGCAGCTGCATGTGGAGGAGCGGAGACGCAAACCCGGTTCACCAGATTACAAGACTACCGCTCTTAACCACTACACCACACTGGTAGGAGCTGGGACCAAACAACAGGAGCTCACCCCATCGCAGGGATTTGAACCGCTGACCTTCCAATCGGCAAGCCCTAGGCTCAGTGGTTTAGACCACAGCGTACAAGTAATGAATTATTATTATTAGGAAGTTAGAAGTCTGTGGGGTGGGGGTGTGGAACGGAGATGTCTTATCCAGCCTACTCTCTTTGTACCCATAACAGATCTTGGCAGGCAGGAATGAGCAGGGGGAGGGGGAGTTGTTGTTTTTTGCAGCATGGAATAAAAGCATGATCACCAGCAAATGCCTGCACATTGGACGTAAGTGTTCATCGAGGGACCATAACTCCACGGCAGAGCACATGCTCTGAATACAGAAGCGCAGTCTCTGGCAGCAGGTGGTGTGCATAGCCACCACCAGTGACAGCAGACAATAGTGGCCTGGTTGGACCAATAGTCTGACCCGAAGTGAAGCACCTGCAATGCCCAGTGGGAAACTCAAGCCATCCTACTTCCCCGCCCATCCCTTCATGGGTTTTAACCATGCTCAGCTCTGCATTACTCTGTAGTCTCATGTAATAATATAAGAAAATGCAAAGAGGCTGCTGGATCAGGCCAGCGGCTCATCTCGTCCACCAGATGCCTGTGCAAAGCCCGCAAGCAGGATCTGAGCGCAAGAGCAGCTCTCCCCACCTGTGGTTTCCAACCACAGGTATTCAGAAGCATCGCTGCTTCCAGTTGTGCAGGCAGGGCCTAGCCATCATGGCTAGAAGTCATCACCAGCCCTCCCAAGCATGAATTTGTCTAATTTTAAGCCATCTCGGTCAGTGGCTGCCTTCTGCCTCTTGTGGGAGTGAGTGGACATAGTTTAGCTGTGTGTCCCGCTTTTCGAAATATACAGAAATGAGGGTGAGGTTGAAAAACACATCCTCCCTGCTCTGTTGACTTGCTCTGCTGTAAGTGCAACACAAAGGCTAGCTGGGTGGAAAGGGTCCTTGATAAGCGATGCCCCATGGCTGTCAGGGGCTAGTTAACCATGAGGGGCACAGTCCATGCTCTTGCGCAACGCCTGTTCCTTTCAGTGGGGCGTGAAGGGCCGTAGCATGCAGAAGGTCCCAGGTTCAAACCCTGAAGGCATCTCCAGGTACAGCTGGGGCAGACTCCAGAAAGCCTCTGCCAGTCTGTGTAGACAGTACTGAGGCAGATGGACCAATGATCTGACTCGCTATTAGGCAGCTTCCGATGTTCCTTGTGTAGGAGAACCCCACCCCATCAGGGATGGTGTCCTGAGAATTGCCTAGAGCCCCAGAACACCTGGTTAGGCTAGAAGAGCCTCTTTTCCTTGGCCTTAGCAATGTGCTGATCCAGGCCAAATATTTGTGAGCATTCACAACACCTGCGGCGCCATTCATGCGCTGCAGCTGTGGCACAATCTCGAAACCGCGAGTTGCTGGTGCCATTCCACAGCCCGCTCTCCCATCCTGCTGAAGAAGACACGACATCCTGCAGATCCAGCTTTTGCTTGAGAGCGAGAATGACAGACAGTTAATCAAATGCCCAATCTCATTCAAGCTGCTTCCCTTTAGCCCTTATCTCTCCTGTTCGGAGGCTTCAAGGCTTGCCCTTTTGCTAGGTTTTCTTCCTCTGGTTAGCAGAGAAAAAGCGTCTTTTTCTCCCTGCTTACGCTTAATTTCTTTTACATCCTGCAGGAAACTTGTAGAACCTATTGCCTATTGCATCCTTTCAGTTTCGGCTCAGGGGATCTGGGCAGCCTCTGGAGAGGACTAAAGATTACTGGGAAATTATTTTCCCATCATTTCTGCAAACCCCCTGGAGAATCCCCTTTGAAACCACTTCACGGTCTCTGAGAAGCAGGAGTGACATGACGAGGGAGGCCCCATTTGGGTTAGGGGGTCACACAGGCCTGCAATGATGACAAAGAAGAAAACAAAGGCAGAGGAGGAAAGTGAAAGAAGGCAATATTCTGTTCTCCTTTTATTTGATTTCTTGCTCTGCACTTTCCTAAGGCTCGGAGTGGGTTACAAAACGGCAGCATAACAAAGGCTGAAAATGCATCTTGTGTGTGTTTTAAAACACATCATCTTTATTAAGACACTGGGAGGACTGATCATCTGTCTCCTTGGTGTGCCAGAATTATTAAGGCTGCAATCCCATGCACACTTAACCTGGGAGTAAATTCTATTGAATACAATGGGATTTATTTCTGTACAGAGAACACGCTGTAAGGGGCATATGTACGAGTTTGAAATCTGGCATTTGGCGGGCACATAAGGCAAGGCAGTCTAATTGCTAGTATTGGTTTTCAAAGGACATTTATGTATCTGTCACTTGAAAAAGAAGGGGCATGATATGTTCCCACAAATGTTTAAAGGCCACACTAGCTAGGCAGCTGAAACACTGGAGGATTGGGAGGGACGGGATTCAAGCATAAGAACCTAAGAGGAGCTCTGCTGGATCAAGTCAATGGCCCATCTAGACCAGTATCCTGATCTCACAATGGCCAACTAGATGTCTCTTTTGGGAAACCCACAAGTAGGACTGGGGCACCAGAGCATTCTCCTCTCCTGCGATTGGGCACTCAGTAGCCTTAGAGGACAGCCATCATGAACTGTAGCCAGTTGGCTATCATCCCTGGACCAGTCCGTTCTCTGTTAAGGCAATATGGAGGCAGGGTGGAAGTGGCTTGAGAAGATCTGAAGTCACCAATCAACAAAAGTACCTGACAGTAGCCAGGACAGGGAGGTCTCCTCAGAAAGATCATGCAAGTCACAGGAACCCTAGACTGGAGGAAGTCCCATCTCCCAACGCCAAGAATTCTCTATAACATTGGCAAGAACTAACTTAACTACCCGCCTGTGTGTTGTAGCGCAATCATTGGGGTTGGCATTGATGACTCCAGACACCCTGCCGGCTCCCCAGTTTAAATGGCTAAATCCCCAATAACCGTCTTACCTCCGAGGAAAAACCCTCCCGGCTGATGCGATTTGCACAGCGCCGAGCACACGTGTGGCCAGGGCTACAGCAATCTGAACTGAACGGTCAAGGCAGCGGCAGGAGCCCCACCCAGGAGACTCTTAGCCTTTGTCAAGCCCCCCAACCTCCACACCTGCACGGGGAGATAAACCCCTTCCCTTCAAATGATAGAAGAGTCCCGAACCGGCATGAGGTGGGAGGGGCAGTCAGCAGCATCCTTAGATTGGGGCGGCGGGGGGAGAGCCGTTGCCTGCCTCCCACCTTTGAAGAGGGAAGCAGGGGGTCCCCGGCAGGATTAGGCGAGGGGAGCAGGGAGGCGTGGCAGGCCGGCGGTGGGGAAGAGGAGGGAGAGCAGGGGCCGGTCTGGGACTCCTGCAAGGCGGCGAGGGAGAGGGTGGAGAGGGCGCCGCCCGAAGCAGCTCCGGAGGGAGCGCGTGAATGAGCCGTTAGAGGAATGAATGGGGGGGGCGGAGGGAGGCGGCTCTCGTGCTCCTCCAGACGCCCCCCTCTCCTGATCTAGGGAGGTGATCGAGAGAGGAGGGAGAAAGAGGGCGCTGCCTGCTTGCCTGCCTTCCTTCCTCCCTCCCTCCTTCCCTCCCCCACCTCCTTTCCTCCATCACCTCCTCCCCTTCCTCCCCCCACCCCAATCTGGCCACTCTCCTCCCTCTTTCCTCCCTCTCTCTCTCCATCCCTCTCTCCCTCTCTCCCTCCATCCGGAAGTCTCCGTCTCTCCCTCCTTTCTCCCTCCGCCTCTCCTCCAACATGGCCGCGAAGTCGGATGGAGGAGCGGCAGGCGCCGCCGCCGCCGCCTCCGCCTCGTCGTCGCTCGTGCGCCGGGAGGGATCCGGCGGCGGCGGCGGTGGAGGGAGCGGCGGCGGCGGAGGCAGCGGCGGCGGCGGGAGCTGCAGCTCCAGCTTGGCCCGGGGGTCCCGTCGAGGAGGGCCGCCGCCCCCTCCGCTGCCCAACCCGGGCAGCCCCGCCGCCTCGGGCTCGGCCGCCGCCGCCCCCGCCGTCGCTGCTGCTGCCGGGCCGCGAGTACAGCCTGCTGGACTGCTGCTGGGTGCTGGGCGCCCTGCTCGTCTTCTTCTCGGACGGCGCCAGCGACCTGTGGCTGGCCGCGCACTACTACCTGCGCGGCGAGTACTCCTTCTTCGGGCTCACGCTGCTCTTCGTGCTGCTGCCCTCGCTGGTCGTGCAGCTGCTCAGCTTCAGGTGGTTCGTCTACGACTTCTCCGCGCCCAGCCGAGCCTCGCCGGGGCCGCCCGCCGCACCGCCTTCAGCACCAAGGACAGCGCCAGCACCAAGGACAGCGCCCGAGCCGGCCTCCAGCCGCCGCCGCCCCCCCAGCCGCCTTCTCCGCGGGCTTCCTCCGGCGGCGGCTGCTGCCGCCTCTGCGTCTGGATCCTCCAGTCCCTCATCCACCTCCTGCAACTCGGCCAGGTCTGGAGGTGAGCAAGGGGAGCCCGAGGGGCTGCGAGCACAAAAGGCAGGCCGAGCGGTGGGCTCCCTCCATGTGCGCACCGGGGGAGCGGGGCGGGGGGCGGAGGCAGATCCGGGTGGGGTGGGTAGGTGGGGTGGTGGGTGGGAAGCCCTCCGGCTTATTCCCCCGGGCGCTGCTCCCCACCAGGGGAAGTTTTAGGATGGTGGGGGACCGCGCCTCGTGAACCTCGGGGAGCAGAGGAGACGCGGCCGGCCTGGAGGGGGGCGGGGGCTCCGAGCTAGAGGGAGGGGGGAACCGTCCCCGTGGCAGGAGGGAAAGAGAGCAGCCATGCAGCCCTCTGGCACGCCGGCAGTTCCTGGGCAAGCCGGCCGCCGCCTCCCTGCCTCTTTTCCCTTGCCCTGCCCAGCAGCACCCCCACCTCCTTCCCCTCTCCCCAAAAGGGCCTGATTCTGGCCAGGGAACCTCGGTGCTCCGTCTGCCCATTCTCTTGTTCAAACCAGGTGGTAGGAACTGAGCCTTGTGCTTTCTTTAAGCTACACTCCCTAAAAGGTGGGCTAGAAACCTAATGCATAATTCACTTTATTCTGCCAGGCCTCCCAGCTCTAATTTGTAGCCTGAGGCTTTAAGGGCTCCTGGACATAGAGAGACTTATCAGCCCTTTAGCCCTGCAAGGCAACAAATCTGAGGCATTTGCTGAACCATCTGGCTCCGAGCAGGGGCGGGGAGGTTAGCAGCACCTGGCTGGTCCCTATTATGTGTCTGAGGGACAAATCCCACTTCCAAGACCAGCTTCAAGGATGCTTAAAGGGGACTTGGCACCCTCTTTCTCTTCAGGGCCAAGTCTTGGCTTGGTACCGGAGAGCAGCATCGATTTTGTTAAACGAATTCTCACCAATGGGGAAAGGAAGGCGACAGTGGAGTCACTCTGATTTGGTGCTCTGTGTGGAGATGTTTTAAGTGCTGTACTAAATATGATTTATCTAAGGTACTGCAATGTGTGGTGGGGAGGGGGAGGGGAGAGAGAGGAGAGAGAAGGATTGCCATGACATAACTGGGTGTCTCTGCTGTTAAACTGTAGCCGTGCATCTCATTGACCAGAGGGAACGGGACCCATGAAATGAAAGGTTGGAGGGCAAGACAATCACGGGTTCTTTCAAGGGGAGAAGGTGTCAGAAATAGAATTAGATTCTTCACCCCAGGAGACACGCGCGGGAGGGGGTGAGGAGAAGGTTAGAAGGTTATAGTGCATCCCAGTCATACTTCACCCTCATGACAGCCCTGTTAGGCAGGCATGGCAGAGGGAGGGAGGGGACCAATGTGGCGTCCACCGTCCCATTCTGCTCCCCAGAGAAACCTGAGAAGCGCTGCCTCCTCCTTTACTCCACGCCTCCGACTTTCTAAGAATCCACCAGAGTGCGCTGAGCTGTCCTGTTCATAACACGGTCCCCAACCCCTGGACGTTTGGAGGGCACCAGGCTGAGGAAGGCTGATCCGAGACGTTGTTTGCTTCCTTTTGCTGGCACTGGTAGTGGTGGGGGGGAGTGGCATGCCTAACCCGCTCCCCCCCCCCCAACAACTGAGGCTAGCAGATCATTGCTACATGGGAGCTGCTCTCAGACAACCACAGCCTGGTTTGTCACAGTGTCTGTGATTCCATTGAAATGAAAGGCCCTCTCCAGTTGCAGACGAGGGCAGAAGCTGTGCGCGTGTTTTCCAGCCAGAGCTCTCCTCTTCACCCCCCCCCACCCGTCCCGCCCTCCTCTTCTTCCCTGCGTTTTATCCACAGCCCCCCACCGCCCCACTCCCCGAGACCACCTTCAAAGGAGCTGAGACCGGGGAGGAGCCAAGTAGGCCCCTGGGAGCCGGCTTGAGAGGGAGAGCGCAGATGGAGTAGGTGCGCTGAATGCCTCTCCAGCAACCACCTCCACTCCAGGGCTCTTAGATGATCATTTCCTGGCAGGTCTATTTCCTCAGGCCAGACTATTGAGCTGACCTTTCGCTCCCCCCACCCTCCCGCCCACTCCAGACAGCTCTCCTTTTCCTGAGCCTCAGAGCTCCCTCCCTCCACAAGGCACAACCGGTCTGTAATGGATCTTCCTGCAAGGGAAGTTGGAGCTGAGCTGGAGACAATGGTGAATTTCTGAAAGAGCCTGCTTAGCTATTCATCGATCGCTGCAAATTGGAGCTGCAGAAGGGAGTTCTCGCCCTTACGCTCCAGTGTAAGGTGAGGTCTCGTCTGGCTCCCAGGGATGCCATGTGGTGGGTGTTTTCCCCGCTCCTGCTGCCCGTGGCCTTGCTCAGGAGAAGGGAGGAACGCAGAGCGCACATCCTTCATACGGTACAGAACTCTGCCTCCTTGGCCGCTCCTCTCCCCATTCAAAAGAAGGCGAGCCACGTCCCCTCCCATTCATGATTCCAGCCCATTCTCATCGCAGCTGTTGACACGGGGAATTGACAAGGGAAAGCGGCAGAATGTGCTCTTCATGGAGAAATGCAGCCTCAGTGGATTTCATCCGTTTGCAACATCGCGCCAGTCTGAATTTTCCCTGACACTGGGGATTGCCACGTGTGGAGCTTGCAAAAGGCTCTGACAGATTTCCTTTTGTGCAGCTCGCCATTGAAAGCTTTTTGTGGTTTTGCTCTGTGCTGCTTGGACGTTGAGGAGCCCCCCCCCCCCACCATTATTCAGCTGCTGTAAGGACGGGCTCAAGTTGTTGCAGATTCATGAAGTACAGCTTGTCGGTTATGAATGGAGGAAATTGCTGATTGCTAGCTGAAGAAAATTACTGGGGGGGGGGAAGCATGATGATTCAGTTTGGGCATGGAGATGTAGCTGGGCCTTGACTTGAGCTGCAGGACTTAACCCCGAGACCCCAAAGCATTTGTGATGCATTTGAGTGAGTTGCAATGAAGGTTGCTACAAGTGGTTTTAGCACAGAGAACCAGATATTTATTGGGAGGGGGCTGAAATCTCCCGAATTTCTTCTCTCTTGTTACTTAGTGGGTTCAGTCTGCATACAGTGTACTGGCTTCAGAAAATCGTGTTGGTGCCCTTAGTCCCAGCTACTTCACACAGCCTGGCCTTGACCCCCTAATCTGTTTCACTGCCACACCTGTGGTGCAGGATGCGGCCCCCTCAAAAGAATCAATGACAGCTCAGTTGGCTTCTATACATGGAATAGTGAGTGGGAGGAATCTGGTCCTTTGCTTCAAGCAACAAAATGCCTTGGGCTGGTCCTGTGTGTGCCCTGGTGCAGGATCCAATCAGACCACCGCTTTGGCATGGGAGCGCTGGTCAGAAAATAAACAGAATGGTGTGTACCCTGAGCATCTGCAGGGCACAGCATGTGATATTGGACACTGGATTCAGCTTCTTATCTCCACTGTATGTCCAAAATATCTTAGTGGCCACAGAGCTATGCTGGAAAGTGGGCGAGCAATACCCACCGAAACCATAAAAGCCAGAGGAGTGGCTGGATGAGACTCCTGTTTGCGGGGGGCAGAACTTCAGTGCCTTTCTCCATCCCTTGACCCTTCCTACAAACGATCAAAGCTGGTTTGAATCAGGCCAAAGACAATAAACTGGACAAATCTGCCCACTATGTGCAGGTTGCATAATTCAGCTTGTCTTGGATTGCCCAGGCACAGGGCAATGTATTGTTTGTGTGGGTGACACTCAGCCCAGGCATGAATTGGTTTTAAGCCACTTGGGTCGATTATGTGGCATATTTACAATGCAGTCAAACCAAGAATGCATGCTTGCTAGATAGGCACATGGTAGCTGAAGCTCAGGGACCTGTAAATTTCTGAGAGACTCCTACTGTGTCCCGTTAGGGGGAAGGCATAGCCATACATATACTGTAGTCTCATCCCCTGGCCAGGCTGCTTCCTCTTTGCTCTTTGACCCCATTCCAGCAATCTGCATGTGCTCAGACACCCTCTTAAACTAGACTAAAGTATGTCTTTGTAACTGGCTTACCATTTTAAGCCTGCCTGAACAAAGCTGCTGTTCTCTGTTACTCTTCAACAAGTATTTTGAGAGAGTAAATGTTATTTTTACCTGTCTGTGTGATTATTGTTTTAAAGGGGGGGGGGGAATACCAGGAGAATCCCTTCTGCTTTATTGCATCCTGGATTACTTAAACTAAAAGGCTAAAATTAGCCTATCAAAGCTTCCCTTTTAAACTGCAAAGGGATGGGACTCAGCTGAACTCAGGGTGAGGAAGGAAGGATAATATCAAATAAATATATCCTCTCCTAGCATCTATAGATATCTCTACAAATAAACCCGCTGAACTGCTGGATTATAAACAGGCATGGCAATTGGTACGAAGTTCCCCTATTCTGTTCTCAAGCCTGGCCCTCTCCCCTCCCTGATCTGCTCCACCAGGCAGGGCATTAAGCCAATTAAAGCTGTCCCTCTCGGAGAGGCCCTCCTGGCCAGTGATGCTCTTGAGCTGTGTATCAGTCTCTTCCTAATCTTGGGATTTGTGGCACTTGCTCCACTGACCAGTTAAATGCGGTTTGCTAAACCCATTAGCGAGGCTGGATTTGGTGCAGGAAGTAGACAGTTGTTTCTAAGAAGTGATGAATTATTGCTAGATGAACTGTGCCCGGGAAGAGGAGAATGGGAGCCTGGGCTTCCTCCCGACCCCTCCCCCTCCCCTTGCATCTCATAAGCTCCTTTATAGCACCGTTCTGGAGACGGCGCCTGTTGTGCGCAGCAGATATTAGGGCTGGTGCCACAGTTCTGTGACGAAAGGCATCCCTTGCACACCAGAGGTCCCAGGTTCAATAGCTGGCATCTGATCATAGGAACTTTGGCTTGCAAGGCTGTTGCCTGCCAGCATGCGTCGTGCTTGGCTCGATGGACCCATGCTTTGACTTGGTAGGAGGTGGCTCTGCTCAAACTCTCCCCAATTTCATCTCTGCAATTGCATGTGTGTGTGTGTGTGTGCACCTGTGTGGAAGGCCTGGCATCTTGCCCCTGAGCATAATTTTGCACCA